GCGTCCTTTCGGCTTTGGCCCAACCACTTCATTAGCTCTGGAGCTACTTGTCCTTGTCTTCTGCTCTTCCTCAGTAGCATGTTGGACTCCTTCCGACCTGAGGGGCCCATCTTCCAGCATCATATCTTTTAGCTTTTTGTTTCTGTCCATGGAGTTTTCTTGGCAAAGATACTGGAGCGGCTTGCCAGTTCCTGCTCCAGGTGGATCGCATTTAGTCAGCACTGTCCACTATGACCTGTCTTGGGTGCCCCTGCACAGCATAGCCCATAGCTTCTGTGAATTACTCAAGCCCCTTCCCCATGACAAGGCAGCACGGCTCTAATCCCCAAGTGAAGGGGGATTAGAAATTACCACCTACCAAATTTCACATGTATAGGATATTCTGGGGACTGTGGTTTAAGTCTGAAAATTATAAGCAGTGGGAAGTATTGCATTTTCAGCCAGGATGGCATGTGGCACCTTTCAGACTACAAAGTCTGAGTGACTTTCCATAGGGCATGTGAATCCTATGCATTTTTGTTTATACATTCATTATGCTGGTGACTCAACTCTATGCATTGTCAGTAGTTCCCAAATTCACTGAATTTGGAGTGAAGTAATAGTTTTGCAGAGAGCTGAAAGTGGGCATAGTATATATTCTCCACCCTATAAAGACCTAGGATGTTGTAAGTAGTGAAAACTCAAACTCTGAAAGATATGGGGTACATTTGCATCTGCAAATACATGTGTCATAAACTCATTAGGAAGTCAAGACTGGTTGTCGCTTCTCAGCAACAACTCATTCATGGTCATAGTTGGGTTTGCCAGTGGATCGTGTATGAAAAAGCCAACAAGGCTTCCACTGTTTGTTTATCTCTCTTCAGGCTGAATGGAGACACATCTATTTTGCACAGATGAAATGCGTATGATAGACCCATCACTGACTGAATTGTGCACACTTAACTTACTCATACTGCTACTGTCTTTTGTCAAGCAAGTTTTGCTCATTTTTGGAGTGCCCAGTAGACCAAATGTGTACAGCTGGGACAATAATAGTATTATTGGTTGTTGTGGGTTTTTGGGGCTCTTTTGCCATGTTCTGAAGGTTGTTTTTCCTAACGTTTTGACAGTCTCTGTGGCCAGCATCTTCAGAGGACAGCACTGTCCTCTGAAGACGTCGGCCACAGAGACTGGCGAAACGGTAGGAAGAGCAACCTTCAGAACACGGCCAAAGAGCCCGAAAAACCCACAACAACTATTAGATCCTGGCCGTGAAAGCCTTTCGTAAATAAATAGTATTCTTCTTCTTGAAGTTTTATTTTTGAAATCTGCAGTTGCGTAAGCAAATGTACAAGGATTCTAATGATTACTAGATGTGCAATCTCTGGATTTTCTGTAGTTGCTAGATTACATATTACATAATAAATGTAACAATTCTCAGTACCATCTGATCCCATTGAAGAATGTTATGTAAAAAACAAAGCAAGGGAGTCTGTTTGTTCTTACCAAGACTGCTGCATCACATTGGTTGGAGAACGGAAGCGACACATGTTTGCTGTGCGGTTGTGGAGTGTTGTAAATGGCACCAGCTGGCTGTAAATTGGGTATGGTGTCATGATTGCAAAGGAGACACACCAGGTTGCAGCAATCACCTTCAAGGCATGTGATTTTGTTTGCCAGACACGAGACTGCAATGGTTTGCAAATAGCACTGTATCGCTCTAAAGATATTGCAAACAGGCTGAATGTTGATACACTGACAGAGACACCTGTGCAAGGAAGTGGAGAGAAAAGCAGACAAGGTCACCCCTTGTTTCAGACTCTTGCTGGGGTTTTTTGGAGCAGAGTTTGATAGGTTGAAGAAATGAGACCAGTATCCAAGAGAGAAAATGCATATCTATCCAAATCCTTTTGCTGGCACAACACCCCACCCATTTGCCTCCAGCCAACCAGCCAGCCAACATTAGTTAATTTTATAACAGAACTGACTCAGCCATGAGGCAACACAAAGAGGCAACTGACTCAAACAGCAGTTGAGCAATCCTCTAATTCACTTAAGACCTCTTAGCCATACTGTCAGCCTCCCCCCTGACACTTCCCACACATCCTGTCCTACACCACAAAACTGTCCTCCTCCACATGGTTGAGGCAGAAGAGGTTACATCCTGGTGGACATGCTTCCAGTCCAGTTGTATTCTGCAGCTGGAATAGAGGAAGGCATCAGGCCATCCTTGTAGCAGAAGTATCTTGAGGGGTCCTGTTTTGTATGACTACTCCATATCTAGTCTAAGATACAATCTTAGCCACTATGACTAGATGGAGCTGTTCCAAACAGCCTTGGTTGCTCAGGTTCTGACCTTCTTGACATTACTAACAGCTAGAAATTATGTCCCAACATGATATGATGTGTAGCACACAGGTGGACATGAGGGCAGACAAGGCAATACAAGGAAGCCTAGACTAACAAATCCTTGAGAAGAGTGCAGTGGGTGTGGAATTTTCTTGCTCAGTTCATTAAAAACAAGTTCAAATGCCATATTATGGAGCATTTCAATTACATGAAGATGAATTGCTGTAGATTTTGAGGGTTTTTTTCTTTTTGGTTTTAGAAAATGTAGAGTGCTCAATAACTGTAAAATGTGTTGTAACGTAACAGTGGAGTTACTGATTTTTTTAAAAAAGGTATACAAAATTGATACCACATTACCACTGCAATTCTGTATCTATCAAACTCTTATTAATTTAACACACTACTATTGTGGCACTAAAAATGGAGGGGGGATAAGAGAGGCAAAAGATTTTCCTGCCAGCAAGCAAGCCTTAATGATAGAATTGTCTGAATCCTACAGAGATACCCATTGTTAATGAACCACTAGATTAAATTCCTTTTACAGCCTTGGGTCAACAGCTATTGATCTGTTAATCCAGCCACTGCCAAGCCTGACTCTGTTTTAGGAATGCTATCACTGAATAATGTGTCATTTTAAAGCAACATCAGTGGTTCTCTTCTGGCTAATTCTGCTTCAGCAGAAAATAATAATAATAATAATTCATACATGATGTTATCAGAAACTGTATGTTGACTGGAGTGTTAATAACAAACTTCTTAATGGAGCTGAAGGAATTGAACATATGGCAGTTAGGAGTAACTCTCCATTCCCAAGTTATTAATTCGCTCAAAGAATTGGACATTTAAACAACAAATAAAATGATCCCTCCAAAATGTTCTCCTTTAATCAAAAATACAAAATCTGGGTCATAAGGTTGCTTTTTAATCCTAAAAGAAAGGCATTCCTTTGGAAATTAGGCAATCTCTTAAAGAAAGCTAAATTGTTGTGTGTTGCAGGCACTGTTCGCTGCAAAATAAAAAAGCAGCATAGCCTTTGGAGCTTTTAAACTTCAGGGAAGGAAACAGTATCAAAAGTGAGCAGTCATGAACACAGAATAAAATGTGTTTCTGGGTGCTATTCAGAAAATAGATCATGATCTGTTTTTCTTTTCCTGTTATGAAACTGAGAGTCCAAAAAAGAATATGAGAGTTTGTCCAAGGCAGACAAAGGACAAGATGCTTTCATCCTTTCAATGCAACACATTTGGAGGACATGCCATGAGATGTGATAGTTGTTGGCTTGCAGAACTTGTCCAAGACATTTTGCTATGTGAAACAAAGGGCAAGTTCAACATACAAAAGCCATCGGCATTGGCAGTGGAAATTCCTCCAATACCGGTAACAGTGTAGCACAGGCTACTTTAGGAGGCATAGGAAGACCTGTTAGCTGGGCACAGCTGTGCAACTGCTGCTCCTGTGCTCCCCATTGCTGGCCTGAGACATTTTCCTCATGGTAGGGCAGGACCCTCCCTTGCTGGCTTGGGTGGCTTTAAAACAGAACCAGGCTTGTAGACATGGGAGATCAGTCTATCAATGGTGACTTGTTGAAAATAGTAAAAGCCCAGTGCCATTGAATATTAACTGAGCGATTGCCTTTAATCACTGGTGTGGTGCTTTCTGGAAGCATTTGCTTTGCCACTGTGTGAAGCAGATGAAGCTTGAGTTTGACCTTGGGTTCATATTCATATTGAGCTGCAGAAAATTAAGAAACCATCCATGCATTCTACACATCTGAACAGCCAATGATATTTTAGGGCTAAGAAACTTCAGTGCTGTTCACTATGATAAGCATCAAGAAAGGAGAAAACTAATCTACTTAGGGACAATAACTCAGCTGACAATTCAATAACAAAGCCTTTACCTAAGAAAATTAAAACACTATATAATGAATACAAAAATGCAATAAAACACAATAAGTCCTGTTGCTAGCTAAACCTATCTTTAAATAAAAACCCATTTGAACATCTCAAGACAATATTCACACCAATAGAAGGCAGCTTTATAACGGAAGAACAGGAAACCAACAAACACCTGTTAAAGACATAGATGTTGGCTTTCTGGCTCACTCTTAACAAAATCTCATTACCTAAATGGGCACTCTCCAGAATATTAGGAACACTGGAAAATTAGCATTCTAAGTTGAATGGACAGACTCCATGCATAGAGCAGGCTCTTCTCTTCAGAAAGTCACCATCCACATGGAAAAAGAATAAATGCATATTAAAGAGAAGGAGAGCTTGTTGTTCCTCTGCACATGTTTATTCCTTTTGAAATCAGAATGCCTCGGTAGGACTTCTGGAATAGCATACAGAAAGCCAGACTAGATTCAGACAAAGGAGGCATGAAAATTGGTGGGAAAAAAGTCAATAATTTAAGATATGCAGATTATAATATCTTACTAGCAGAAAGCAGCTATGATGTGAAATGACCTTTAGTCACTTGTACACTAACCATTGATGATGGTGATAATGTGTTTTCGTCTTAAAAATTAAAGAGACCGTTAAATATCATAATGTTTTGCTATTGCCCTCTGTTCATCTAGTTTTCAGATGGCTGCTAACCATTTATGAGGCCGCCTTTCAGACTGACTAGCTAAATGTAAACTAAGCTAAAATTAGACTGGTTGTTTTCAGGAATTGCACCATAAATGATCATTCAACCAGCAAGCAATAGAACAAATTAGTAGTTTCTGTCATTTAAGGTTGCTGAAAGAGGTCACTCCAATTTTTTGAGGTCCCTCATAAAGAAGAAAATACAATTGCTCTTTAACCCAAACAAAACTGAAAGCAATGAGATCCTTGAAAGGTATGGATTTAGCAATGGGGGGGGGGGATTTGATTGCCTCACCTCTACATACAGAAATACAAGGACTGACAGAGGCAGCACTATTGGAAATACCATTAAATAAAAATGTTAAGGCTTTTATTTGATGTTGTACTAGAAACTCTTGCAGATTATACTAGCACTGATTTGGGGATTCATGTCAGAAGGTCATCAAATACTATATTTAGTTTTTCAAAAAAAAAACACCTTCCAGTTTATTAACGTTGGATATTGTATTTCTGTATCCATGATTCTAAATGCCAGGAAACAGACTGATATTGCTGCACAATATTGTGCTGGAAAAGGGATGCCAAACCTTTCATAGCAAAGAGCAGCCTGAATGTTGATGACACCCCTGTCAGCAGTCAAGATGGTCTACAGCACTGGTTCTTAACCTTCGTTACTGAGATGTTTTTGGACTGCAACTCCCAGAAGCCTTCACCATCAGCTCTGCTGGCTGAGGTTTCTGGGAGTTGCAGTTCAAAAACACCTGAGTAACAAAGGTTAAGAACCACTGGTCTACAGGATATCCTCTTGTGCTCACTACCATTTCTTCCAGTCATTTGATTACTTTGCAGCTCCAAGAAATAGATACCCAGATAATTTGTTGAAAAAGAGCCCTGACAATTGCTTTGTGTTTTGGTGAGAAGTGGTTAACTGATGAAAAAGGAGACAGGTTCTAGAATCTTTGCCTGCTTGTTGTTTCTTTGTGAACGGTAGTGAGCATAAGAGGGTGCTGACATGGGTATTGTCAACATTCACACTGCCCTTTGCTTTGGAAAGCTTGACATCTTTTTTCTGCTGGCAACATAGACATGATATTGTACAGCAATAGTGAGCTATTTCCCAGCATTTTGAATTGATGTGTATCTCACTTGTTCCTTCCATCACAACATGGTTTGATTGCTTGGACACAAACATTTATTAAATGTTGGAACAACTTAAGAAAGGGTGGCCAGGGCAGAGGGATAAAATCTCTTCTTCTCCACCAAGTGCAGTACACAGAGGAGGTGGATGAGGCGTGACACAGCACGTGTGTTCTGTGTTCACTGGGATCTGGTTCTAAGTGCAAGTAGACTCTGTCTTCAGTCCCACGTGGAGGAAGGGATCACAGTCCCCTGAGGGGTGGCTACAGGCAACATTGGCTCTAGTGTCTTTGTGCTCCAGCTCAAGTCTGATGTGTCCAGGGAGCAATCCAGATCAAGGCCTCGGGGTTGGAGAGCTAGTGTTGTTGCCTGGGAATGGTACAGGGTCTCCGATCACGTGTCTGGTTCCATCGCTGGTGCTGTTTGGACCATGCCTCTCAGAATCTCTCCTGGTAATGGAGTACCCTGGCTGTCTCCTCCAGTGGTATCCGTAGAT